ATATATATATGCTTCACTTGGGCAAGACGAAGCACCATGGTTATTCAAACAATTTTAGTTATCCAGGATGAATTCCACAACAAAAATATGGCGAGACACTCGAAGCAATGGAAGAATACATTTGGGTGGTTTCTCATGAGAGAAAGAAGGCAAGATCAGGAAATAAAGGATTTCTAGGGAAAGGGATAATACTGAAGGATCATGTATTTCTGGGACAAATGGGGGAAAGAGAGCGTGGGAGGATTGTTCAGGTTGAACTCCAACACCCAAGAAAAGCAAGATAAATAGGCAGAAAAATATGTGTCATGCATGTTCATGTATTTTACATTACACCACCAAATAAAGGGCATTCCGCTACTACTATAAGTACTAGTTTCCCAAAATTGTATCGAAAATCCTTATAGCATGAAGTCAAAAGGTTCTAATATATTTTCTTGACCCACTCAACACTAGCTTACACTTTCCATTTGCTTAAAGAAAAATCATCCTGTCCTCTCAAGAATAAACTACCAAGTGTCATCATACCATGTAAAAACCCGTTTCTTTGACTTCTTCATATCAAATACCGACATAGTGTGGTTAATGGAAAGAAAAAACATGTATATCAAATGGTAAAAATTGGCAACTTCTATAGTCGATGCACCAAATATAGCATACACCAAATTTAGTACCAAAAATAACACTACAATCTGTATTGCAGAGTGGTTTTCCTACTCAAATACTAAACTATAGCATTGGATTGGCACACTAATTTGGCACTGAATAGGAGAGGCTCTAAGCTCCACTAATTTCAGTAGCCAGCCCCTTGTTCCAACACGCAAAAGCTATATTTCAGCTAATACACACTACAACTAGATGAACATTTTATATCAAAGTATGCCTTTGGAGTTAAATTCGCCGCAACCATGGAGAACAGAAGGTAAGGATTTTCATCTAGGTTTTCTTAGTCTTCTGCTTTACTATGGCATTTAGGATGACTTATAAATAGGCCTTACTGTTATTGAATAAAGAGGTGAAATTGATCATGATAAAGGGATTGGATCAGGATAACCATATTATTATTTCCCCATCATTCTTTCCATCCCTTCCCCAGTTTCCCTTAGCCCCACTTTTCTTTTTACAACATCAATATTTTTTTCCCATGTACATATAAACTCTAAGGTACCTAACTAATTTATATGCATTCACCATAATTAACTACAGAAAATCGACGACCGTTGAATTTCAATTAACAGTTGCTTTTCATGTGATATATTTCTCTTGGATCATTATCAACACTAACAGAGAAATCTATGAGCTACTTTTGAGCATGTAAGCCGTATAAAAGGTTGAATTCACTGGTTGGGCTTTTCACTTTCACAAAATAACTGGAGTAAGAAATACGCATAGAGGGAAAACAAAAAACATCAAAAAGGCCATCTGTCACAACTTACAACAAATGTATATAATACCTCAATTTTCCTCATCTCAGCTTCTGTTTTTGCTTTTTGATGATTCTCCCATGCTTGAATTTTCATCTCTTCACGTTTAAACCTGGACAATTGCAGTCATCGTCAGGTCATAATTTGAGAAGGCATAGTGTTAAAGGTAGCCTTCAAACACTAGTCCCTACATTGCCTGAGGTGCAAGGCACCAAAGTTGCATACTGTCTAGATCTAAAAACCAAACTAATTTTCATATGAAATAACTTCATATGAAGGATCATATAAAAAAAAAAAGGTGGAACAAATTTGTAAATCCTCAGCAAGACAAATATCTGGCCATATATACTTTTGTCATGAATATGATTTATGAATGTGTCATTATAAAAATAATAACAATAAAACTGATAAATGGACTTCGTCCTCCACCTGAGTTTAAAAATAAGTCATAGAATTAGCATATTAGTACATTCTTGTAAATGATAATACACAAATAAAACTGCACTGAAAAAAGAAAACGATGAAAAGACTCAAATACCCTCTGTAATTGCCAAATAGACACCTCTGTAAACCTGTCATATCTGATACTCAGAACACACATCAGGATCATACAAGATTACTCAGCATAAATTAAAACTTATGGATGCCTGAATGCCACCTTTAAGAAAATTCAATGAATTGGATTAACCTGGCCATGTACTTGGCTTTCTCGGCCTCCTCCCATGCCGTTGCGCGTGTCTCAATAACACTTTTAGCCTGTTGCTCTGCTGCTAGGGCTTTCAATGTAGTGGATGCATCCTTATCTTCCTCCTCTTTGCTAGCCCACGCAGCAATGTTTGTTTTACCAAGCTGTGTTCCAAGAGCCATTATTTCTCTCCTCGTTTTCATTTGTAGCTCTCTTTCAGATAACCCTCTATTAGAATCCAGATGGTCAATGTGTGGATCAGTTGCAGATGACTCAGGGGCAGCTCTGGGAGGAGTAGACGGTCTTGAAGAAGTTGGGCTGCGCATTGGTGTGGTTGCTCTCACAGGAGTTCCAGTCCGGGAAGGATCTTGGCTAGCAATAGGTGTCATCTCTGTGCCCATATCTCTCATTGATACTGACCTAGCTGTTGAAGGGGGTGGAATAAACGTCATTGCACTTTGTATGGCTACAGATGAACTGTGACGGCTGAGATTGACTGCAAAAAAACATATGCAAGTGTACATATTAAAATGACTAGCATCATTCAAGTTACTAATATATAGCTCATTTTTATATGAAATTTGCCAGAAAGTTGCAATCTACGCCCTAGAATTTGATTACGACAATTTTCATACCTTAGAAGTAAACAAAGGCAGAAGAGGGACTAGGAGTTCAAGAACACGAGAAAAATTTACAAGAACTAACAAAGGAAAAGAAAAACAAAAGATGCAAATGAAAATCTAAAGAACAAACTAAAGCAATGACAAAGGATAAGAACCCCTGTACCAGAAACTAACTGATGACCATAACATAGAGCCTGATAGAAGTTATATGAAGCTGTCCAAGAGACAGAGCTTTTACTCCTACCATATAATCCATACAAAACAATGAGGCACCACTCTAACAAATGAACTAGTGACCAGACCTCTCTAACAAATGAAAAATGAAGTAAAAGGCTTACTGTCTACTCACCCTTCTCACATATAAAGAACCCAGACACCTAACAAAGGGATACTAAAATAAATTGCTCATTTGAATTAACTACCTGCACAAAACCTTCATTCTTGTTAGAACAAAAATCCAAAACGCTGAGGGAGAAGAGATGATTAACTTCTCTTACCTTTTTTGATTCAATGTTCAGAATAATAACTTTTCCTACTTGTACTTGTCTAGATGAAAAGGGAAGAAATGAAAAGAAAGAATTTTAAATGAGGATATCCTTGTATTCATAGAAAAACAAGACGTATTTGGGCCATTGGCTTCTCTTCTAGTTTCTCCAGTTCTATATATAAGCTCAAACAGAAATTCATTCTCCTAATGGATCCTCAATTGTTTCAATTTCTCCACAAAACTAATTCAAACAGAAAAACCTATTTACCTCTCAATTTCCCCTTAACAAACCTAATGCTTCCTGGTTGTCCAAATAATAGAAAAATAAAATTAAAGCAAATTATATCTTATATCAACAATATGTAAGCATCACAAGATGAAAATTACAGAAAAGTACCGGAAGTATATTAAGAAAAAATAAATAAAGTGTTAGTTTACCGATTCATCCCAAAAGCTTAAGCTATTAAAACGTGGGTCAACAATAATTTTATATTTTAACGCTCTCCCTCACATGTGGGCTGGACAATGGGCAATCGTGTGGGTAAATTAATTAGAAAGCCCAACACGTGAATATTTAAGCCCGAAATATATAAAGACCCAACACGTAATTTAAATGAGGATAAAGAGTACAATTACGGGAGTTTAAACTCAGAACCTCCCGCTCTGATACCATGTTAGTTTATCAATTCATCTCAAAAGTTTAAGCTATTAGGTGGACAACAATAATTTTATATTTTAACATAAAGTATATCAGCAAATATCAAAACAACTATATCCTTACTTGCTGATTGTCCAACTGAGTTCTCAATCATGAGCACAGGCTTGCTATAAGAATCTGCAGTCGGATATGCATCAGCCTCCCAAGGAAGAAGCTTTTGCCCCCAACTTTCCACCTTAGCTTGATTCATATCAATCTGTTTCGTATCTGGCTCTTCGAAAGCAACCACTTTCTGATCCGGAACTTCAACAACCACTTTTGCAGAAAGCTGACGACTCACGTTCCTTGGCCCAACTCCTAGCCCACCTTGTCCTGCCTTTGGTCGATTAGAAGTAGGACTTGCAATCCACTTCTGGGCATCATCCCATTTCGATGGCGCAGGCTTCGAAAATGGAGCAAGGGGCATCCTCTGTTGGACCCTCTCGCCCTTCTGAAACTCAAAGATCGACGACGAGACACTCATTCCATCGTGTACACTATCATAATCCAAAGAAGGGTCTTGTTGATTTCTAGCTCTTGTACTATTAGTATTATCCTTCAACCTACGATCACTAACCATCTCCGCACCTAAGGAGTCAGCTGTGGTTGAAGTTGAACATGCATGAAGGACACTCACAACATCTACATATTTGCAGTTGTCGGAACTGCTACCACCTGTGGAAGATGTTTATCATCAAAACTTTGGTTTTTCTTTTTTTGGGTTTGTAAAATGAAATCTCTAGTACTTTCTCACTGTCAAAAACATAGCCAATCGCTCTGTTTGGTCGCCGAGAAAGCGGAGGAAAATCTTAAAACAAATCTAGCTGTATACCAGTCTTTATCACCTTTCCGTTGAAAAAGGAATGGCGGCTGACCCAGTTCTTACTTTATTAAGGATGATACCTCATATTCGATACGATGTATAAATCAAACATTCAAAATGTATTACTTTATTGAATTCTTTACATTTTGCGTGAAGAAAAAGAATATGACAATATGTCGTCCTAAACCCAAATTACATAGAAAACAAAGGGTCGCTATTAAAATACAAAGAATATATATATATATATATATATATATATATATATTCCCGAAAAGAAAAAACAAAAACAAAAATAGTAAGAAAAAGAAAAAGGTGTACCAGATTCATCAACGTCAAAAGGTTGAGATCTCAAAGTAAAGGAAGATTCAGAGTCGTCTTCTTGCTTTCTCTGCTTCTCTACTCCCATCAGCATCATCCTCAACTTTCCCGGCGAAAATCCTCCGCCGCCGCCGCCGCCCTAACCAAAACAAACAAACACAAACTTATTCAAATCCAAAAATGCGAAGCGAGCGAAATGCGGGCTTCGAAATCGCCGGATCAAGAGCGCGGATTGTTGGAGTTTCTCGAGAAAAAAGGAAAAAAGAAGGGCCAAAGTTTGAAAAACGGACGCTTTTGTGTGCATTGGGAAAAGAGAAAGTAATAAAATGGAAACGAACAAACCTGAGGCTTTTGGATCCTTTCGTAGTCCATAGTACTCGTGAGGGAATATTTCTGGGAAATGAGAGAGCTAAGAGAAGGAATTTGGTAGTGGCGAGAACATAATAATTATAATAAATAATAATAATAATAATAATGCAGAATGAAGGAAGTTTTCTTTCTTCTTCTTCTGTTTCTTTCTTTAACTGTGAGATTGGAGTGTGTAAAGCGAGGTTGTTTTCTTTTCTTTTTGTTTTGTAGTTTTTTTTTTTTGGTTTGAAATGCAGTCAAACTTGAGTTGTACGGCAGAAGAAGAGGAGTAATAGCATGGGGTGGGATTAGATTAGGACCCGCCAGTAATGGGCAGACTGAGAAATGAGTACGCCTTCAGCTTCAGTTTTTTTCTTTTCTTTTTTTTACTTTCTCTTGTGATCTTCTTAGGTATGAGTTTATAACACAGAGCTGGTTAAAATTATATTAAATTAAAAAAATTATGTAAAATAAATAATTTTTAATATAAATTTAATTGTTAAAAAATAAAAAATAATTAATAATTAATTTTTTTCGATCTTATCAGAAAAATTCCATGGTCATATTTTACATGTTGTTTGGTTGTTAAATTCATATCATAATTCGTAGTTCGTTATAATATTTTTTCTTATAAAAAATACATATAAATCAAAAATGACTCTGAATCATAATTATAAATCCATCAACTAAACGTTAGAGTTAGTTTTATTTTCATTTTTTACGTTTTTTGAGAAAATAAAAATAAAAACGAGAAAAAAAGGCGTTTGACACAACTAAAAATAAAAAACGAAAATAAAAATAATTTTTTAATTTAGTGTAAAATATGAGATAAATAAAAAATAACTTTTAGTTATTTTTCATTTTTTATTTTCATTTTCTTCTTTTTTGAGCGGAGAGAGACATTAATGAATTTTTTTATACTGAAAATAATTTTTTAATAAAACTATCAAACGCGCCCCATATTTTCTTATCTCATGTTTTCTCCTCACGTTGCATCAGTTTATTTATCGAACTCAGGAGAAGGTCATCATCTATTTTTCATAGAGAATTGCCTTTTTTTTTTTTTTTTTTTTTTTAGAGAATGCGTGTGCAAATAAACAAAAATGGTGAAAATGAGGAAAAAAAAAAAAAAAAAAAAAAAGTCCAGTCTGACTGCGTTATTAATTAAACTCATAGAAACCATGTGTTATGCAGAATGACTTAAATTTACAAACGCGTAAAAAAAATCCCATAATAATACTAGTAATAATCTTCATTGGATACCAATTTGTGCTCATCATGGGTAACTTTAGCCTCTTTCTCTTTCGTCCACCGATGCCTGAATATCGTTGACAATGATGACGTGGACGTCCATGATTGGTGGCATGTGGGGACCACCACATGAGAACGAATGGGGAAGATCCAAAGTCCTGACTTATTTTTAGAAGACCAATAACCTTGACTGGGCCTTATAAAAAGTGATAAAGTGACAAATCTGTGCTAATCAGAAAGGACGATAGAATCAACATATTCCCATCAAGCTCATAAGAAAGTGAAAGCTCCAAAATGTACATGGTCCAATGTGTTCATTGATTGCCCCAACATTCGTTCAGATTAATCGCTGAACATTTCTGTATGTTTATTTTAAATCATAATTTTTTATTTTTTATAATTTTTTCTCATAAAAAATTTAAATTTTAAAAATTAAAATCATAAATTCTAATTCTAATTTAAAAACTAAACGTCTCATTCATATCTTTAACTAAAATAATTAATGATTTTATTTTTTAAATTTTTTTCACTTTAATTATTAATTAAATAGTTAGTTATTTTGATTAAAGTATTTTTTCACTAACTAAATATAATTAGCAAGAAATAGCTAACTATTTATTCTTTTTATTATTTTATTTTTTGTTTTGACATAAAGTAAAATATAGAATATGATAAGAGTGACTCACTAAAAGTTACTAGTTAAAATAATTTTTTAATCATTTTAACTAGAATTTAGTTAAAATATATAGAGCTCCTTAAAGATGCTCTTATTATACCAAAAACAAGGATTAGTTAGCACGATAATTACCTAATTATAAGCAATTTTTAATTTTAGTTCCTAACTTTTTAATTTGGTAAACAACTCTTTAAATTTTTATTTTTTACAGTTTTAATCCCTTACACTAAATTGTTGAAAATTTTATGAAATTTAATATAAATAGTTATGCATTCATCTTGCTACTATAACTTGAAATTTGACGAGCATTAACTTTATGAACAAGAAGTTATCTTCACGCTGTCAAATAAAATAGAATGTTTTATATACAACTATTTGTGCAATTATTATACTATAGGAATATAATTTTTTATGTTAAATTTTAGAAATTATTTGTCAATTTTAATGTCAACGACTAAATCTGTTTAAAAGAAAGAAAAAAAATTTAGCAAGTAATCACTTACTTTTTGAACCATTACATTTTACTTAACTCACTTAAACTTATGCCCTGTTTGTTTTAACAACTCAAACTGTTAATTAAGATTCAAATCCTAATTCAATATTTAAATTAATGTTTAAGAGAAGAAAATTGATGGACAATTCAAACCATTAATAATAGTTCAAACTCTTGATTTTTTAAATTTACCACCCTGTAAATTCTAACAATCTGAATTGTTATCTACAATTCAACAGTTACAGATTCTACTTTTTCTCTCCCTTCAATTTCAATTTTAAGAATATCATGACTTCTTCGTTTTAATTCCTACTGAGACGATTTTTTTTAATGTGTTCATAATGGAGAGAGGAACAAATCCCCACCCATATTGCATATTTTTTAATGTCATTTACGATTAGGTTTTATAAGATTTATTGTAGACTACAGTTTTTAACACTTTATCCAAACACATTTCATATTGTATTCCTAATTCAAATTACAATTTATTTGCATATTCAAACACCGATTTGAATCACAATTAAAATCACTACAGTTTAGATTCTACAGTTCTAATTAAAAAAATTCAAATCTCTAACATTTTGAGTTGTTGAACCAAACAAGTGCTTAGGTTGTTTGATTTAATTATTTACCTGGCTCCTAAAGTTTTAAGAACTTTATTTTAAGGAAATTTATAACTAAAATAAAGAGTGAAGATTTTAAGTCATAGTAATGAGGAATTACGTGGATAACTTGATGTGGAAATTACTTTACTTGAATTCGTGTAATGACTGGGAAAATTTAGGTCTAATCCGGATAGTCTGGTATTTGATTGAAATCCTTTCCGCAATAGTAAATAGTAGAATTTTGATGTAATCAAGAAAATATTATGGAGGAACTTTATGTATGGGGTAAAATTTTCCGAAATATGTAAAGTTATAATACGAATATGTTTATAAAGAAAATTCGTAAATATCAGTTATGAATAGTGAAATATCAGTTAAAAGTTAGAAATTTTAGCGGGTACATTTTAGTTATGAAAAACTAAAATATTTAGTTTGTGACCAAATGACCAGTCAGAAAAATAGTAGAAATTTTTGAAGTAAGGAAAATAACAAAAGTTCCTAAAACAGAATTTTTCCGAGCCAGTTAAAGTGGGAAACTGTTAAAAAACTAATGTCGCGAGGGTAAGGTTTTAGGCAATTCTAGATCGATTAAAATGAAAATTTCAGAAAAAGAAATTGACTAATGAGATACCCAAGAGAATTGGGTTGAACATGAGAAGTTTGACCTAGGGTACTCGACAATCCAGAAAAGTAATATAGAACCTGTACTGATTGTGAAATTATTAGTACCGGAAAGAGACTCATTTTGAGAAACGAAAAGTTAGGTCTCACCAAGAAAAATTTGAGGAGTATAGAACTCACTCATTTGCTAGCACGTATCTTTGATATGGCAAGGAACAAAAGCAGATTAAACCAAGTTATAGTGTATATATATATATATATAATTATCTCTAAGTACGTGTAAAAAAAAGTAAAAAGAATAGTTATCGTGACGTGGATATATACCTCACATGCAGATGTACCACTTGGCTTAGTTATATGCCTAAGCTCATTAGCTTGATGACTCACGTAGTGACTCATGTTGGCTACGTACTCAACATGAATGAGCCTTTGTAGTTTAATGAATACTCACGTTGGTTACAAACTTCATATGTAAGGCAAAGTAGAGGAAAGTTTTGTAAAAGAAAAACGTGATAGAGTGAAGTAAAGAGAAAAACGTGAGAGAGAGACGGAGAAAGGAAAAATCAAGCATTTTCATTGGGATTTCTTCCATTTAATTCGGTAGAAAACGTAACCTGAGGCGTTCTAGCAAGAAACCTCAACTTCTGGAGGTAAGATTTCGGATTTTTCATGAGAATTCTATGATTTCTTGATTTGAATGAATAGTAACCCATCTCGAAAAACTTTCGTTAAAGTGAAAATCGAAAGCGAGGTTTTGTAAAACATCGTACTAGGAGTCTAACGGTGCAAGTATTAAAACGATTGAACGAAATTTTGGTGGATTTCCATTGAAAATCCGTGAGCCTAGATTAAGAAATAACATGTGTTTTGTTCAATTTTATGTTGAAATCTGTGTTCAGGAATGTGAATCTTGACTCCAGGTACCGAAATCGGAAGTAGAACGAGTTATTGAAAACTCAAGAAATGAGAAAAATAAGGTGAAACTCTGCCGAAATTTCCTAAAAGTTAGTTAGTAAGCAATGAGTTAGTAATTGATTCTAGATAATGAATAACAGTTTTAAAGCTTGAAAATGAACAGATTAAGATTTAGAAACTGAGATACACAAATATGTGTAATTTAACTCTTAAACTAGGATACGGCCTAGAGGGGAAAAAGGTTCAGAAACGAGTTTGAAATTAAATTTAAGAATCTAAGTATGAAGAATTGTGATTTGGAATAGGAAATTTATAAATATTTCCATGAAATAGGTTTTGGCGCGAGAGCCGAGACAACAAGAAAGAACTTCTAGCAAGCGGGAATCCTAACGGATTATTGTAAGTATAGACATATATGTTTGTCTGGACTCGAGTAAACCGTTGTTAGACTTAGAATTATAAATTTGCTTATATTCTTAAGTCTATGTGATTATACGTGTTTGGAGGGCTTAGTGCCCTAGATTGCAGAAGGGCGACATATGTTTACCCTTATGCACAATTAAAGTATGCATGGAGTATTATGCATTTTATGTTAGCATGTGCACGTAGAGAAACGTTGCATATCATTCAGTAAAGTTTTTAACACTTTAAAATGAAAAACTTAAAGTTCAATAATGTAAAGAGACTGACGAGTCGTCAGCCTCCCAAGGGAGGAAATCTTAAAGAGTA